CACACACACACACACACACGCACGCACACACACACACACACACACACACACACACACACACACACACGTTTGTTCTTTTATCCTCACGGGGAATTTGCATTGACTTCCATTCATTTACCAGTCATTTCTATAGCCTATCCCTGACCCCTTAACCTAAATTTAACAAAACCAGATTATACCAACACTAAACCTAATCTAAACTTCATTCACACCTTAGTCCTAACCCAAACCCACTAATGATTGGCTATTTCCCCCAATAAGAACCTGGCTTTAGTGGGTCCTCACAAGGCTGTGAAAATGGTCAAAATTGTTCCAACCAGGTAACAAAAACTTTTACACACACACACACACGCACGCACACACACACGCATGCACGCACGCACGCACACACACACGCACGCACGCACGCACACACACACACACACACGCATGCACGCACGCACGCACACACACACACACAGTACAAAAAAAGCATATATACATATGCAAGCTGATTGGTGAACGGAAGAGCAGGTATTTTTAGAAGCAGCTTATTTATGCCAATGATGTCAGACTGGGTGTTTACGTTAGCACACCAGGCGAGTGTAACTCTGATCTGATCAGGGAGCGCAAAGACACAGAAGATGTTAGCAGGAAGTYGAGCTGAGATGAACAAAACAAAACAAAAAAACGAAGGACAGAACAAGCAAGAAGAGAAGGCAAATAACATCRGAAGATGCACAGATGCAGAAATGTCAAAGAAAAAAAGCTGAGTAGAGTAGAAAAGTAAGGGAGTGTGCCAAACCAAATCTACAGAGAAATGAACGAGCGATGCCACCAAGTAAAAAGCAAATGTAAAAAAAGAGGAAAGTAGACAAAGAAATMATTTCCCTGAGCACGACTAAAGGAAGGCATTATTGGTTCACCCCTGAGAATTAAAGGCTCCTCTTCACATGGTGCAAATTAAGTGAGTCTCATAAGCAAATTATCCCCACAGCTAGCATGCACCTTCTGCTGAACCCTGAACTACAAATCCTCTTACACTCTGCAACAATGTCATCCTGACCACTGTAGTTTAGAAGTTGGTATGCTTGAGTGCTCAAAATGCATCATGTGGCTCCTCTAATGCTCAGGTTGAGAGCTGAGATGGGACTCAGTCGAATGACTGAACTGGGTAAATACAAGAGTTTTTCTCTTAAACAAAAGAATCTTCATWCTGGTTAAAAGCACTTTTTCCTTTAAAATCTATTTTTATGGCTGTGCTACTAATACGTTTAGAAGAATCCTCATATGATCACAACACCAGTAATTCTACACTTCTGCAAGTGTTTTAGATGTTTTAGCAGCTTACTGTGAAAGTTGAGCTAAAAAACTAAAACAGACAGTTTGATGGTAATGAAACAAAACTGCACAGGTTAAATGGTCATGTATTGCACCAAACACACTGTCAGATTTGGCTGTATGGGCACACTATTAGGCCCTCGTCAGTAGGTTGTGACCCGCTCAGCTATAAATACAAGCAGCGTACATAAGAGCCGTATAGAAGTCCTTTTGCAGGAAGTCAGCCCACAGCTGTTGGAACTAACCGTCAAGATCCAACTGACCAGAACTGAACTGATCCCACACGTTAGATTAAGGACAAATTGAGGAGGACCTGAGTGTCCACTGACACTGGTCATGAAATGCAGGCTTTTGTCTGTATCAGACTACCCTGACACCCTGCCTCCCCCATGACTGTTACTGTAGTGACAGCTAGTAGTTCATGCAAAGTCCTGATTTCAATAGGGTGGTCTGCACAACTTGTCACCTGTTTTTATTTGCGCATGCAATCTTAGTCAGTCACCTGCACCACATCCACTAATACCACATGCTTTTTTTTTTTGTTTGGACAGCAATTTAGTGCTCGTTATCTGGAGTAAATTGGAACCTACGTCTCCCCGCAGCATGATGTCCAGAATAATGCCAATAAGTGTTTCCCCAACAGCCACAAGAAAGGGCCTCTTCCTTTGGTCATCTTGGGTAACAACGCAACTTGTTATTGGTGCTTCTCGGTTAGGGCACCGCTCCAAAAGTAGTCATCTCTGCTCTGGTGTTAATGGCAGCAAACTCTTGGTGCAGTAAACTCACAGTTATATTATTGTCAGTAGTCGAGACATGACCCAAGTGTGACCCTCAGTGTGAGAATCTGGGGTTTTTAGTGCCTCTTTATCCACCATGTCAGTTCAGTTCTTCTCAGAGTTTTCACCAGCTCCCCCACACTTGATCCTTGTTGTCCTGTCCCAGGTGTTTCTCATTAACCCTTGTTAGTTTTTCTCTTTATACTGTAATCTGTGTCTCGTCTTCACCTCGCTGTTGGTGCATTGTGCGTCCCAAGCCAGCCAGATTGTCTGCTTGTGTTTCCTCCGAGAACGTTTCCCTGTGAGTATATTTTTCCTGCTGCCACGRCAGCAAATACCTACACAAATGTGACCCTTAGTGTGGTCTGTTTTAGGTAAACTCTACCTTCACATAGTGTGCAAGTGTCCTCATGTTTCCTAACACGTGATCCATGCAATAGGCGAGTGTTTAATACGACCACATGCTCTGAATGTGACCCCATCAAACTCCATTAAGTGCTYGTAATGCTGTCTAAAGCATCTATGAGCCATCCTGTGTTACTGATGGCTTTTATTTTCCATTTTAATTGACTTTTGCATGCTAAAGCAACTGCCTGAAAACACAACTGCTCATCTCATGATGCCACTACTTACACCCTTGGGTACTCATACCAGACATGCCAGCTCCTAGCATGTAAATCATTTGGATACTTATCACTGGTTTGAATGTGCAGCAAATTATTCAATAATTCCTTCTCTTTTTTTTAACCGAGTGTATTTTACTGATTGAAACCGATTGATACCAGTGATGTTATTAGAATTCAGGCCTGTTTTGACTAAAGTGTTTTGGCYCATTCTGTATTCTATCCATCATGCATAAATTGAAAAGATGACATTTTACCTTACCGTCTGTCATAATGTTCCATTTGTGCATGCCATAATAATTCACTTTAAAAAAATAGAAAGGTTGGTCTGCGTCCTAGCACAGCCACTCCACTGCTCCATTTTATAATCAGCCAGGCGGTACATAAACCAGACATGATTATCTCTCTGGCAGCATAAATCAAGAGGAAAGTTGTTGTGTGATTTAAATAACTGATGAATCAAACTTAACAAAGTAGAACTTGAACAATAAACACACAGCCGTACTTTGGCTCCTCAAGCTAACATGAAAACATTTTTGCCTCAGCCGTTTGATCACCCTCATCCATTATGTTTCAGATGCTAATCAAACCTTTAACCAGTCACACATCACACAGATGAATACACACTGTATTTAAACACAAATAAAGGTAAAAACCTTATACACTGTGGCCACCAGGTGTTAAAAAAATGTAAAAAATTCACTAACACATTTTCATTATTTAACAACTTTCTGAGTGTAAAATCCTCGTTTAAGAATTCCACTAAATTTTATTATTTAGCTCACCGTTCTTACAGTTTGCTATTTTCACTAAATGCTCATTGATAAATGTAAATGTGAAATCCTGAATATAAATGTGTAAATATAAATGTAAAAAATAAATCTTAAATGTTGCAGCTACTGTAAATGATAACGCTTACATTTAAGATTTCAGAATGGAACTCAGCCTTTGCTGTTGGTGCGTGGCTTTTATTGTGATTCATCATCCTGCAACAAAAGCAAACTAACGCTGCTAAAGTTGGCATTTAAAATCTATTTTTTTAATCTAAACTTAAAATGTGTTCATTGAAAACAATATGGATGGTACCTGTTTGAAGCACAGCTTAAACACAGAAAGCAACTGCACGTTTCATGTGTTCCATTCCACAATTCTTGAATGTAAGCTTTAAAATTTAACATTTAACTTTTAGATGTAGATTTACACACAGAGTTGGGATTCAGGGTGGCAGGGTGGCTTGGTAAAAAAATTTTAGTGACACTTTTTAACATTTTGTTTTACACTTAACACCCATAACACCCCAGTGTGATAATGCATTTTTTTTTTTACTCCTGTTTAAAGTAAATCATCCACAGATGCCAGAAGGGGAGCAAAACAGTAAAAATGTTTGAGGAACAGTGCTTGAACAGCACAAGTCGTTCAGGTTCTGCCTGAAAACRTTCCTTAAAAATCTCTGAATACAGGCAGCAGTGTAATATCAACCCATTGCTATAAATCAACAAGCCAAAATCCGACAAATTCTAACCAGTGTACCACCTGTGCTTCAGCTGGGAAGCAGCCTGAAATCAAAGAGTGCTCCATCAGTTCGTACAGCAGCAGCAGCACTAACAGTGAAAGGTTTGGTTCCCCACTGGGAGCTGGCCTTTCTAAAAGAGTCCGTCCACCTTCAAGTGCTAGATCCTGTGTTACAGTTGGCAGTCTGACAAGATGGCTTGAGCAGGATGAGTGGTTAATGCGCTCCAGCTTAGATGTGGCTTTGGTTCCACATTTGACCTTCAAATGTTACAATGACAACCAGTAGTGTGGGAGGAGGCAGAGGAAGAAAAGCTCCTAACTTATTATTATGAAAGGTCACTTTTTTTTGTTCTTGCAGTAAAAATCCCAACAGATGACTTGAAAATAGCATGTCATGAATAACAASTCTCTGCTTTCGTTGTGTAGGGTCAAGCTAACCAAAAGGGAGTGAATGCCTTCTGCAAATAAATGCTTCCAACCTTCTTTCGTTTCAGAAGCAGCTACTGACATTTAAGGTAAGATTAATCAGAACTGAAGCTTTGAGATTGTTTGGATTTTTTTTCCTARGCATGTTTCTGTAGAGGTTATCAAGACTCAGAGAAATCTAAATTTTATAATCACCGAGGAATTCTCATGGAGTCAAGCTAACAGCTCATCAAACCAGGGTCTATTCCAGAGAGGATATAGGATAAGTGAAAAAGAAAAAAATTGTATAGGTCTTCTGGACGGGCTCTTCTCTAATGAAACGTTTCGTCTCTCCCAGAAGACCTATACAATTTTTTTCTTTTTGATTTTTTTTCCTGGATTACTGAGATGCATCAGGACATAGTATAAGTGAATAATCTATTGCAAAATTTTACACCTTATTATATTCACACTGGACAGGAATTTATATTGACAAGCATTATTATTATATTTTTTATCACAGATCACAGTCTTGACAAGTTTTGAGATGTTTTAAATGGGTGAAATGCTCGTCACATTCCAATAGTAGTTTGTTGTACTCTATTACACGTGTCAAACTCAAGACCCACTTGCCAAATGGGATCCGGCACAAGATTTTATATGGCTCACAAGAGCTTCAAYGACACATTTATGTTTTAAAATAAGCACATGCTGCTTTAAAGCCAATATTGTCCATAAACTACATCTCCCACAATGCATGTCAATTATTCTACCCATGAAATGACAGCATCTCACCACTAGGGGGAGGAGAACTTGCTTAGAAAGTAACCAGAAGCCAGCTAAATTTTCATTTTAAAAAAATCTTCATTTTCGTTGCATTTTTGCCTATATTTTTGCTGCGGCCCAGTTGTATTAGGAAGTGGGAATTTCCCACTTACAAGTAGTAAAATTAAACTGCAAAACCCCTCTAGTGGGAATTTTCTGTAAGAAAGTGGGAGAGTTCAGAATTTAAGATGGCAGCTACTCATCACACTTTCACAGTGAGTGAAACTCTTGTTTTTCCTTTTATTAGTATTTTTGTATTACTTATTTCACATTTAGCCACTTAATACTTTTCAGTGTTTATAAGAAGATGCATTTCTAATGGTTTCTATGTAGGAAATACCACATAGAGCTCAGTTATTATTTGTTAGCGGTGCTCAGTCATAGCAATGAGACGAGGAACATGACGTTTTGTGTTTAGTGAAAGTTAAACATAAAACATTGAAGTTAATAACAACTGGTCCTTAGAGGGCCACTATGTTGCCCATGTAACCCTCAGTGAAAATGAGTTTGACACGCCTGCTTTAATATGTCAATTTATCCCTGATTCTTCAAACAGAGATCGCTCTAACTGCTGCCAACTGCAGGTAAGATACTGACTACTCATAACCTCTCCATAAAAGCTCCAAACCATCTCCTTAACACAGTTTAGATATTTCTAAAAGAGTTAATATTCTGTTATGAATTACAGCACACAACAGTAGCACAAACAAAAAGGTTTACACCTGCTTAATTTGAAAATATGTGACCAAAATACTTTTTTCTTTCAGATTAAAGCCTGTGTAAAATTGTTGTTTGTGTATAGATCAACTTTTAAAATAAACATCAACCCAGTAATTGTTGAAATGAAAAAAGGATTTAAGCTTAAACCAACCAAACTTTTTTTTTTCACACTGAGATTAAGTCAGATAAAAACTGGGATATTATCTAAATGACTGACTTTAAGTCTGTCCCAGATCTCCTACCTGTGGGGAACTCTGCAGGCACTACGTCAGTGTCTCCAGCAACCAGCGAGGGCACAATCCACGTGAAGCCATAACCAGTGATCCCAACAGAGTGGGCCACCTCAAAGATGGTGTTGGCCTCCTCTTTAGTACAGTACAGAAGAATAACGGGGCTCTGGAGCTTCTTCAGCTGGTTCTGGATCTTGGAGTCTCCATCGTCTACGGACATGTCCAGTAGAAGAACTTCCTCCAATTCCCAGCCCACAAAGCTGTTCTCGATGGTATTCCGAATCTGAACAGACAACAAAGATAATCGGCTATGAAAAAAAAWACTTTTTATTACCCATTGTTTGTGTTTCTTGGCTAAAGAAATGCTCTTCTTGTTTTTGGCACCAGTCTGGTTGTTAAAGCCTGAGTCACTCAGTCTGCTCCAGTTAATGCTGATACCACATGAACATTACAAATCATCCTTGTAGATCCTCTGAGTTGTTAGTAATTGCCAATCCCCGAGGCTGGTATTTCTGATGAACCTATCCTCAGAAGCAGAGATGAGTCTGGAGCTGACTGCCGTCAGATAGCTCTCAAGAGAAATCAAAGAATCTGATGGTTGGTGCACGAGAGCAACAGTTCACATCTTTTGAAGTGCGTTCCTGAGGAAACTCTCAGGATTCGTTTTTGATAGTTTTTATTTGTAGTCTTTTGTGTTTACTTATGTTCTGTGATTATTGTGTTTAGATGATATTTGTGTGGTTTTTGTGTGTTCCTCTGCCATTCTTCACTTATCCTGTCAGTTTTCTGTTCACACTGCAGGTTCTTTAAGCTCACTTCTGATCTTTTGCTCAYATCTGATATTTTTGCGTGGATGTTCACKTTATATTTTTAATGCAACTTCCATCAGACCAGTGTGAACTCTCCACAGTGTTGATTAAACTAATATGTGCAAAAGATGTGACGTGACATCACATTCATCGCATTACAGAAGGAAATATGGATGTCACATGATGTTGTTGTGCAATCAGATTCAAAACAACATATTTAAGGCCTAAAAAAGTGGATTTTGCATGATATGTCCCCTTTAATATTTGAACCTGCCTCTGGCTGGCTACTCCYGAGTAGCATTGTATTTATGAAACAGAAACGACGTGCTGAAAGTAAAACTAAGTATCGATCCAGCAACTTTACATATGGCCTGAGAGAGATGTTACTATCATTTATTTCTTTGGATTCTCAGTCAGGGAAGCCCCTTTCATAAGGCGGCTCAGTCCGGGCCTGATGTATGTTCAGTCCTCCAACCAGCATTCAGAAAAAACACGAAGGCAGATGCGCTCCTGATCCGCGAGCAGAGGTAGTATCAGAGGCGGATCTGCGCTCAGAATATGATGATGACATCAGTGAGCGACCACAGGKTTAATCAACAGACAGGTTTATTAACAAGAGAATATTAAAAATGACACGAAACAGCAACTTGTAAAAGTTAGTTTAAAACATATTGAGCCACAGGTTCGTTATAATATGCTCATTCCTTTTTTTTCTCTCTGATAACGCAGAGCCAGTGAGTAGCGGAGGAGCTGTGTGTGTGTGTGTGTGTGTGTGTGTGTGTGTGTGTGTGTGTGTGTGTGTGTGTGTGTGTGTGTGTGTGTGTGTGTGTGTGTGCGCGCGCGCTTAAGAGGAAGACGTTAGTGCGGCTGGAGATTTATTACTGAGGGCATACAGTATTAAAGAAGACGCAGAACAGCAAATTTGTAGCTGGTTAGTTTAAAAAGTATTGAGCTACAGGTTCGCTATAATGAGATGATTTCYTTCGTCTTTTCGTTTTTCTTTTTCTTTTTTTGATACGACACAGCAGCCAGTGAGCGGCGGAGGATAAATCRACAGATTTTACCGAGGGAATYTTAAAAATMACACAAAACAGCAACTTTGTATAATAAGTTTAAAAATATTAAACCGCRACAGAATCACTAAAGGGAGTTAATTCAGTTGTTTTGTTTGATACGAGGCAGCAGGCGTCTGTCCCACAATAAATACGTCGCGGTCCAGTTCAGCCCAGCTGAGTTCTGCTCCACGCCTCTTTTGGATCCGCGCCGCTGGTTCATTTATGAACACGTACATGTGAGCGGGACCTGCCCGCCGTCACCTGTGATCTTGTGAACGACCCGAGGAGGCTTAAAGTCGGACTGGTCTGTGCGGAAATTGCACAGATTTGACTTATGAAAGGGGCTGGAGAATTAAAAAGGACAAAAATGAAGCTGCACAAAGCTAGTATCCATATTTTAGATACTTGGATGGATTTACTCGCCCCATGTCACTGATAAAAGTCAGATGAAATGTGACATGACTCTTCAGACTGAAGTTGCTTTGAAAAACATCAGATTTGTATCCATTCAATGCCACATACTGAAAAGACCTGGGTCACATCTGAAAAAGTTGGATTTGTCACATTTTTACAAAATAAACATCTGATGTAGGTCACGTTTGCCTGCAGTGTGAACGTATCCATGCTCAGCCGGCCACGCCCACTCTCACCTTTTCCCAGTCTGTATTTAGCCCAGATGTCACCATTTCCTCATCAGCCCCYTTCTTTAATTGGTTCTCCTTCACTCATCAGCAGAGCATCATTAGCTGTCATGCCACAGTCTGGTTTACTTTGCGRTCCTTGTGTTCCTCCTTGTGTTTTTTGCATGTATGTTTTGCTGCAACATTAGCAGTTTTCTGTGTATAATTAAATTATTTAATTTTATTTAGCTCCTCGTGTCTAGTCTGCATTCCTTCTGCCACTATGACATAAATCAGCATGAAGAAATAGCTGATTATGTGAAAACTAGTTCATAAATCTTTACCTCACCATCAGTTTAATATTCCACTGTTATTGCACAAATATTACATAATTCCTGCTATAAGTGCCCCTGATTGCACTGCTGTTGCTATTTGGCATCAACCACAAAGTTCATTATAAATAACTGTGTAAGTGTTTATAAAATAATGTTTGCATGCATTACTATGAAATTTTAGAGATCGGTGTTGTTTTAACATATCAATWATCAACTTTGATCTTGGTCCCATTCAAGCTATCCTTTAGCTCAGCAAACTGTAACCTACCTGCAACAGGTAAGATGTTAATTGTTTATAACCCTTCCACTAAATCCCACTTCCAAAAACCTGACCTCTCACTTTCAGAGGACAACAATTTTTACAGAATCATATTTGACAAAGTGCATTTCTCCATATGTATATAACTCTTAATATTTCAAGAATTTAMTTGAGATTGATGCCAAAAGTGCACAAGTTGAAAGACAAAACTGATGACCCTGAAAAACATTATGCACGTTTTTCTATGCATTTCTTGGTTTCTTTTAAATTGTTGTGCAATGAACAAAATAGTAAAAAAAATTAAAAAGCTACATGGTGTTCATTCAAAGTGCTGACTTTTMGGTAGGTTAGTCGCATCATTAAACCAGGTGCATAGCGTTACCTTGGTGACGAAGTCCTGGTAACCTGGGTAATACGTGGTGACGATGGAGAAGATGTACCAGTCATACTCCTCCATGATGTTCAGAATGACAGAAGCCTGCTGCTCGATGGAGGGMCCAAATTGAAAGAACATGGAGTGGTCGTCCTGACAATAACAGAGACACACACAAAGGAACAAAGACACAATGTAAATGGTCGCACAACAATATTGGTCTCAACTTTAATTTAGCTGGCATCGCACACAAAGGAGAGCAGCTATGACTTAAAGGACAGCGGTGGTTGAGTAACATCATCGGAGCGGACATTAATTTTGCTGCCTTTATTCCTTGGCTTACAGAGGAGAAAGGCGAGAGGACTCTTGTGGACTTGTAATGATACCAGTCATAATTTTCATTAGTTCCCTTTTATGACTCCTTTAATGAGTTTGTAGCTGGAGCTCATTCTGTGGACTCAGAGACGCTGTCTTCCATCTTATCGGTGATATCCATCTGTTTGCTTTATTGTAACCAACAACAAAGCTTTTAATAGTGCCCTTAAAAATAACTGATTTATTTAGACAATATGTGGAAAAAAAAAGACACACATTTGCCCTGCAGAAACACTACAGTGAATAAGATTCCTTCCTGTGGGAAAATTAAATCTCAGTCTAATAGAGAATGCACAACAAAACAAGTCTGAGAGAAACTTTAATAAACATTACTTAAACATGGATATCAGCCTGTGTCCTGCCACCAGTGTTGGCAACGGACCGCTGAGCTGGACAGAAGAAGAGGAGGAGGTGAGAAATACTCGTCTAGACACGCAGTTCTGCATCATGAGCCTGTTGTTGTGCATGTGTATCTGAGTCATTGTGTGAAACTCAAAACTCCTGTGTGCACTATATACAGTAGAGTGTTTGTTTTCCCGGAAATTCAACCTACAAGTGTGCCAATTTATATGAATGAGAGTTATTACTGTGGGTGTGTGTGCTTGGTGTTTAACTGCGTAATAGTGCAACAGGTTGTAAAAGACATTTCGATAGACTTGGGTTGATTTGTTATCAGGGCAACTTTGCCAGTTTGACATATTCATACATGTAATGCGAAACTAGAAAATTTTAAAAATAAATTTTCATTTCATTTAATTTAATTTAAAAGAATGATAATCAATATTCCATGAATTTAAATGTGTCTGAATTAGCACAACAGCTAAATGTCATCCATTGTCCTGAACAGATAAAGGAATACAAACATTTTACAAAATAACTGCACAAAACAAACACAAGAATCAAATAAAACACAAACATCCCACACTGCAAGGTACTCTTAAAGGTGCTTAAAATAGACCTACTTTACAAATGAATACATGACTGATTTTATTTAAGCCAAACTTTAAGTTTCTTTTTGAAAACAGAATAACTATCAAAGTCTCTGGTATGTTCTGTAGTTAGTTCCTCTAATTGATGTCACCTTTCGCCCAAACTCCATTCTCCGTCTTGCTACAATACCATCTGAGATCTAGTGTTTATTCTGTATTTGTACTTCTGAATAAGAGTTTAAACGTGGAGGAGCATGTCCATTTTAATCCCTGAAAACAAGACTTAAATCACTGAACCTTTGATAATAATGTGACATAATAAAGTCCAAGATCTTATATTTATTGATGATAGTAGTGAACCTTAAAACGTTGTCTAAAACTTTGTCTTTTTGAAGAGAAAAATCTCAGACAGTGCAGCTACTGCCCAAAATTCCCAAATGCCCAAAAAACTACTATTAATTTCCTTACCAATACAACTTCTCTCACTCCCTGCCAGCACTCAATAAGACAGACAGAATCACAGAGTACAAATTAAGCCTTTAACAATCACTGTGTGAAAATTTTGAGAATAACCTCTGAAGTAGGAGTGGTTATTCATCTGGTGATCACACACATTTATACGTTTTCATGCATCTGTAGTGATTTATGTAAGAGTTACAGTAAGGTAGAAATGACCCATCAGTTCTAGTTTTGAAGAAAACATTTAGAGCTCAGACAGAAGTCAATGCGAGACTGAATACTGCACTTTGGGGGATTTAGGAGTAAAAGTTTTATAGCCGTGGGTCAAAGAAGACAAAAATGTCTACACTTTGATGTATAAACTGTACAACACACAGAGTCCAACCCRTTTAAACTTTAAATTATATTTCTACTGTTAAGTGTGTTTGAGCTATGGCCCTTTGGTGGCCCTGACATGGTTTGCTAGAGCTGGCACAAATATGGTGTCAATCTGGCACTACTGGCTGACTGCTGGCATGGCAAGTAGTTTGGCACTGTTTTTAAGATGGCATACCACAACTGGCCCAGTTGTGATTTGGTTTATGTGGTCCAAATCTGTCAGTGCCACAAGTGGCCCACTTGTGGTTTTGTTCATGTGGTTCGGGCCCATACATGGCCCACCTTTGGGTCACCAAAGCCCTGTCAATCTTTGCTGTCTCTGGACTTAGTGTTTAGTGCCTTGTGTGGTCCTGACAAATTTTGCTATGAGGGGTGGGATGCATCATTTGTCTCTGTGTCCCTGTGATGGACCCCACCTCTCAGACAGTGACTGCTGGACCAGCTCCCCTGACCCCGAATAAAGAACTGGGTAAATAAAATGGATGGATGGATGGATGGATGGCTGGATGGATGGCTGGATGGATGGATGGATGGATGGATGGATGGATGGATGGATGGATGGATGGATGGATTGCTCAACTACCAAAATTCACATCACACTATTTCACATAAAAGTTGCACATTTGGATGTATTCTATGTATTTTTTCCAAACAAATATTAATAAGGATGCTTCAAAGCTTATGCATCAGCATTTTGATTAAAAACAGGCATTGCAAAAATGAGTGCAATGTGCTGCATTTGTGCATTAGAAAAGTGAGACAAAATTGAAAATGGGGGAATAATGACTCTTGTACAGATGTTGTATCATGTGCCTTCACTATTGTGAATGCACATGTTGCTCTGTTCTTTGTATCTTTTTTTCTTCTTCTTTGTTTTTTTCCTTCATACCCCATCCATCTCTATCTCTCCTCTCACTCTGCTGTCCCATTAATACCACTGGAATCACTGCCAGGGCACACTTATAATTGAATTTCCAGACTCACACTCCCGCTTCCCCCTTTTATCCTCTGCAGAGCGCCTGTGTCACTGTGCACCCCCACCTCACCATTTCCTCTGGCATCCTCTCCCCATATCTCTTCTCATAAGAGCACTATTAAAGTACTGTCCAACTCATTCCAGGGGGCTGCAGAATTTTCATTAGCCTTTGAGAAAAAGAAAAACTAAATGCATGAAAAGAAAGTGAAAGGAAAAATGCAAAAGTGTGCAAAGAAGCAAAGTCAGGAGCTGAGTTAAATGAAGTGCTGCAACACACTGCTCTTCATTTACAGCTTCAACAATTAGGGTTTGGTTCACATTATCACCTCTGTTGGCACCAACTGATCGATTAGTGAGTATTAAAATTCCCACAAGGGGTAGAGAGGCCAGTGAGTCAGCCAGCCAGACACAGGAAGCCGGCCAGCATCGCTTTGAATCTGCTGCTGAGCTGCTTGCTGTCTTTTCTGTGGATACACTGCTGACGTCAGCACTGGCCACTGTACACAGATAACAATACACTACAACAAACGATACAAGTAGGATGAATGGCAGGTGGAGATGTGGGAGGGAAGAAAGGAGAAATTCAGTGAGGGGCAGATAAAAAAAGCACATATTCTGGGAAAAGGGTTCATATGAATGAATCAAAAGAAACTAAAGGGAAAGAGCTAAACTAGATCAAAAGGTGGGTTGTCCAAAAAAAAAAAAAAAAAAAAAAAAAAGAAAATAAGAAGAAGCAGATTGGATGTAGCTAAAATCCAAACCCTACAGAGGGGCAGGCGTAGAGGACAGTTTGGTGACAATGGGATGAATGGAGGAGAGGAGACCATGCTGGCACATGGCTGTGATCCTGTACGGAGTGAGCGAGCAGGGAAGGGGGCTGAGAGCCAGGAGTCAGTGAAGGAGCAGGCAAACGGAGGTGTGTGTGTGTGTGTGTGTGTGTGTGTGTGTGTGTGTGTGTGTGTGTGTGTGTGTGTG